CAGAGGACAGTGGTTTCTACTCAAACGGGTGGAGTTCTTTCTTCTTTGAGTTCTTTGGGTTCTTTTTTCATTGAGTGCTTTTGTGGCATCAGGATATGCAGAATCTTCAACTAAGTTTTCTGTTCTACAGCTGTAGATGAATGTAGGAATTCCATTCTCCATGATCACCACCTACACCAGTTGATTTTATCCTTCATGGAATCACCTATGCCAAATTTCATGGAATAACCTTTTCAAGGATGTTTTGCTCTTCACCATGAGAAAGCCTTATTTATGTTCAGATTTACTCATGGCACAAGCTTGACTCTACTGAAGAGAATCTTTATCAGTTGGGTATTAGGCGCGCAGAAAGAGTTAACTTAGATGGCCCAAGATGGCTTATGCTTAGATTGGCTGTCTTGCAAAGTGGCCCTCACTTGGCATCTGGGAACTTAGCTCTCCAGAGGGTTCCCACCACCCAGACTGTTAAGAGTGACTCACTATGCCTAAACTGTTTATGCAAATGGTGTGATTTATACTGAGCACTTGCTTTCCTCCTGGGAATCTGGTATTTTTGTACTGCCAGTAGAAGTTGCCTACCTGGCTAGCCCCCAGTAAAAACTGTACTCAGTCTTTAATGAGCTCCTTTGGTAAACAGTATTTCACAGTTGTTGTTACAATGCTTTGATAAGGAAATTAAGCAAGTCCTGTGGGATTGTGCTGGAAGAGGACTCCACTGGGGGAGGACTTTTGGAAGCTTGAGCCTAGTTTCCTCCAGACTTCTCCCCATTCATCTTTTCCCTTTGTTGAGTTTACTTTGTAGACTTTCACTGTAATCATAGGATTCTGACTGTATGCTGAGTCCTGTGAGGTTTCCTAGGGTAACAGTAGCTGTTGGAACAAATAAATGCCAAGACTTCAGAGGTCCAATACTATAGGTTATTTCTTGTTTATATAAAGATCAGTGCCAGTGCTCCTGGTGAGTAGATGGTCTTCCATCAATCATCAAGGACCTAGGTGCCTTCCATCTTGTATTCCACCTTCTTCTAAAGCCTCTGAGTCCTGTTCATTAAGTTTGTAGATGGAAAAAAGAGACTATGGAAAGTACATACCCCCTTCTTAACCCTCCTCTTCACCTTAACTCCACTGTTGGCCCGAAGATGACACCACTACATCTGGCTACATTCCATTGGCAATTATGGTCCCATGTAGATACAAGGGGGCTACGAAATGTGGTCTCTGCTTGGTGGCTGTTCCCCTGCAGCAACTCTGTGGAAATAAAGCATAAATCCTTGATGGCCTGCAACAGGATCATAATAGATCTATTTATTATGAAACTGTGGCACCCTCAACTTCCTCCCAAGTGTTAGGAGACAATACACAGAAGCCATACTGTTCATGCTTATATGCAGGTTGACATGTAAAAGGAAACAGGTCATCCCAAGTTGAGTAGGCAAGGCTAACTTTTCCCGGGAAGTCTTCTTTCCAAATAGATCCCTTCTTCTGTGTTTCCATAGTAATTGGTGCTGATCCTTCTCATAGCACTTATCACAAGGTATTGAAACTTCACCGATTTCTTGTCTGACTTTCCCATTGAATCATAATATTTTTGAGGCTACAACTTTAGTTGTCTTATCGACCATATGTTCTGTGCCCAGAACAGAATCTGGTCCATCTGAGATGTGCAGTAAATGCATAAAGGAATAAGTGGTTGAATGGGACAGGGAGATGCAATGTAGTAGCAGGCTGTGAGCATGTGCTTCAGAGTTAGTGAAAATTTCTTATCTTCTGTGACCTTGCAAAAGTTACTAAACTTCTCTGAACCTCAAATTTTCATTCTTAGAATGGGGATAAAAATACTAACTTTGCAACATTACTATGAGGATTTTCTGAGATTATGAATGTATACCGCACCTAACCTTGTTCTAGGGATATTAGTAAACTCTGTAAAAATGGTATTTATTATTGACACAAATGACAGCCAGTGGCATTACCAGTTTCAACATTCAGTTACTCCAGATACACTCTTAGATGCAAACTATTAGAAGCCGTAGAAACCAAAGGTGGCCAAATTGTGTGCAAGGGTGATGAGAGGAACAAGTTGTAGAGATAGCAGCTTCATTTCATTGGCGAGTCTTCCTGGGAGGACAAAAGGGCTTCCTTCCCTTGACCTTGACATCAAAGAGTATTAGATTCACCTTCTCAAAACAGTGCTTATTCTCCCAAGACTTCACAAGATGTCAAGTTCATCTCACACCTTTAAAACAACATGGTTCAAGATAGAGCTCTGATTCCTTCTTCATTCACTCATCCACTTAAGAAATATTTTTAGAGTGTTCACCTTGAGTCAGGCACTAGGGATCATTAGTAGTAAACAAAGAAGACCAGTCTCCTCTGTCACAGAGCCTACATTTTAGGAAGGGAGACAGACAGCCAATCAATAGGTATGTCACATGTAGACGGTGAAAAAGAAGATTTTAGGAGTGCCTGGGTGGCTCAGTCGATAAAGTGTTTGTTGATTTCGGCTCAAATTTGTGATCTCACGTTTCATGAGTTTGAGCCCCATGTCAGTCTCTGTGCTGACAGTTCAGAGCCTGCTTGGGATTCTTTCTCTCTCTCCTTTTCTCTCTGTGCCTCCCCTATTTGTGTTCTTTCTGTCTATTTCAAAATAAATAAATAAACTTAAAAAAATTGAGATTTTAGGCAGCATCCTGGATATGTGTTTTTTTTTTAATTAATTAATTAATTAATATTTGAGAGAGAGAGAGACAGATAGATAGAACATGAGCAGGGGAGAGGCAGAGAGAGAGTGAGACACAGAATCTGAAGCAGGCTCCAGGCTCTGAGCTGTCAGCACAGAGCCCAACATGGGGCTTGAACTCAGGAACTGCGAGATTGTGACCTGATCTGAAGTCAGAAGCTTAACTGATTGAACCACCCAGGCACCCCTCAAGTTCTGCAGTCTTAAGGTAAACTGTTATTAAACGTATCACAGGTGTCAGCTCTAGTGGTGCCATTTGGCCTTCTTCAATAACTATTTCATAATTACATATACATACATACACACACAATTACCCCAAACTTTCTCTCATATCATGTTTCTGATTGATTTATTCTCATAATCATCTAAGCCCCTGTGTTTTTTACTGTTTTAAAGCAATGGAAACCTTTTGGATTATTTATAAACTCCATGTCTGGTAACCCCCCAGTGTGAAAGCAGTTCTTCTCTGGTTCAGGAGGGTCTCCACCTGCTTTGCCTCCACCTTGATCCCTTCAACGGCCTTCAGTCTCACAGAGGAACTTGGGGATATAAGGAATAGGGTTTGAAAGCCATTAATGAAGTCTTAACTAAGTAGTGGGAAATTGATAATGAAATTCTAGTCCAATTCAATAGACAAGAGTTATAAACAAGGGAAAAACAGCAACCTACAAAGGTCAAGGGTCTATAAGTGTGAAACTGTGTGACAAGGATCCTGGGTGGCTCAGTTGGTCAAGCATCCAACTTCGGCTCAGGTCATGATCTCACGGTTCGTGAGTTCGAGCCCTGCGTCGGGCTCTGTGCTGACAGCTCGGAGCCTGGAGCCTGCTTCCCATTCTGTGTCTCCCTCTCTCTCTGCCCCATCCCCACTCATGCTCTGTCTCTCTCTGTCTTAAAAATAAATAAAACATTAAAAAATTTTTTTTTAATTTGTTCAATACAGATTTCTTGATTTTCTTCCCCATGCCTGTCCTACCTGTAGCTTTTCCCTTTTAGTAAACATCTACCTGTTGCTCAGGCCAGTTCCTGGACCCTACCATGCTCCCACCTTCCTTCCTTCTCTTCTCTGCAATAACAAAGTGCCCCTGTTTTGTTCCTGAAGTTATGGAGAAACAGTGTTTCACCATGGATACAGCGCAAGCTGTTGCCTCTACCAGATTGAGGAGGCTCCCTTCTATTTCTAGGTTGTTGAGTGTTGTTGGTATTATGAAGGGTGTTGTATTTTACCAAATGCTTGTCCTGTGTCTATTGAGACAATCATGTCCTTTTTGTCTTTTATTCTATTCATATGGTGCATTCCATTAACTGATTTTTAGATGTTAAATCAACTTTGCATTCCTGGGATAAATCCCATTTGGTCATGGTGTGTAATCCTTTTTATATACTGCCGAATTCTATTTTCTGATGTTTTGGTTTTTTGGGGGGGGAGTTGTTTGTTTTTGTGCCCCAAAGTGTTTTCTGTTTTTAACAAATCTGAGCTTTAAACCTTTTGCTGGATTCCCATGGCACTCCAGAGCTCCCCTATGGATCTCTGCCACAGATATGTGGCCTTTATGCATTAATCACTCCCTCACTTCACTTTGCTTCCACCACTTTCCTGTCTCACCTCCCTGCTTCCTTACTAGTCTCTCCTGGGGACAATTTTTTTAAATCTCTTTTTTAAAGTTTATTTATTAAAAAGTTTTTTTTAATGTTTATTTTTGAGAGAGAGAGATACAGAGGATGAGCAGGGGAGGGGCAGAGAGAGGGAGACACAGAATCCAAAGCAGGCACCAGGCTCTGGGCTGCCAGCACAGAGCCTGATGCAGGGCTCAAACCCATGAACCGTGAAATCGTGACCTGAGCCAAAGTTGGACACTTAACCAATTGAGCCACCCAGGCGTCCCTAAAGTTTATTTTTTGAGAGAGAGAGAGAGAGAGAGAGAGAGCAGGGGAGGGGCACAGAGAGAGGGAAAGATAGTATCGCAAGCAGGGATCCCCAACAGGGGGCTCAAAGTCACCAACCGTGGACTGTGACCTGAGCCAAAACCAAGAGTCAGAGGCTCAACCAACTGAGCCGCCCAGGCACCCATCCCAGGAGGGGTTTCTACTAAATCGTTTCTACTAGTTTCTACTAAATCATTTCCACACAAATCCTCTTCTCAGGTGCCGCTGGTGGGGATCAGCTTAAGTCACTACCATGGGGGAGAAGCATCTCTGGCCACGTCGTCCCTCACATATCCACACTCCTCTCACTAACTGGGCTCTGTGGATTTTCCTGCAGGTGATTTACGCCCTCAACACCCGCCAGGATGAAGCGGAGGCCAGCGTGGAGGCTCTGCGGGAAGCCCACCGGGAGGAGCTCCAGAAGGCCGTGGCGGAGACAGAGGCCAGGCTCCTGCGGGAACAGGGCCACGCAGAGGAGGAGGCCCTGCTCCAGCGCATTCGGGCCCTGGAGAACGCCTTGGAGCTGCAGAAGAGGCTGACCCAGGAGGCGCTGGCTCAGTCGGCCACGTGCAGGCTGGAGACCAAAGAAAGGGAGCTGAGGGTGGAGGCAGAGCACGCCGAGCGGGTCCTCACCCTCTCCAAGGAAATGCTGGAGCTCAAGGCCGACTATGAGAAGAGGCTCCGGCACCTGGCGAGCCACGAGACGCCCCAGTGGGGCCAGCTTTCCCAGGAGGGCCCGGAGCCCAAGGGAGAGCCAGGCCACGGCCACGAGATGCGGGATGTCCTCCTGGAGGTGGAGAGGCTGCGAGCGGAAAACCAGCAGCTGAGCAAGGACTATGCCAGGAAGGCTGAGGAGCTGCAGGCCACCTATGAGCGGGACACCGAGGCCATCCGGCAGGCCATGCAGCAGTCTGTGAGTGAGGCCCTGTGGCAGTGGCAGGAGAAGGAGACGGACCTCCGCAAGAACTTCCAGGTCCAGGAGTCGGCCCTGCAGGCTCAGGTCAGGAAGCTAGAAGGGGATCTGGAGCACAGGGGCCGCAAGATAAGTGACCTGAAGAAGTATGCCCAGAAGCTGAAGGAGAGGACTCAGGTAAAGCAGGGTCTCGGATGGCTTGCAAATGAGATCATATTCGTGGTCCCTAATTTTAACACTTACTGTGTGTTAAAACTGTTTTTAACATCTACTGAGCTTTAAAATCTTTGTGCAAAGCCCTTGACTTCTACCAAAGTGACTCCTCTTATTTCCCTTGAGTTCAAGTACATTCTGTCAGCAAATATTTACGGAATGCCTACTATGTGCCAGGCCCAGGGCTATGGCCAGGAGACACATGGTGAGCTGGGTCCCTGACCTCAGAGAGCTTAGACACTTACAGTTTGCAGAAGAAAAGAAATTGGGAGGCTTAAAGACTAACCTCGCTGGTCAGCTGCATTCTATAGCCCTCTTCATTCCATAACAACTTGCCTGTCCTAAACTCCTTGGGACTTGGCTTTCCTGGACAGCCAGAACATTGACAAGGCAGATCATTGACAAACCCCACACGCTCACAACACCCTGTCTCTAAAACTTGCAGCAGCTAATATTCCTAATAATCCCTGAGCACTTTTTCTGCCCCAGACACTTTATCTCATTTAATCCTCACCACAGAAAGGTTAAATATGTGCCCAAAGTCACACAGCCAATCTGGATGAGTAGGGATTTGATGAACATGAGCCACCGAATTGCAGGGACGCAGAGCTTATGCTGTGCACTGACCCACCTTTCAGATGTGACGCTGGTTCTGTGTATATTGGATGTCTCCACAGAGAACTGTTCCTAGAGAAATGAGACCCTTTCTGTCTGTTTAGGACCTAGATGTGCAGCTCAAGGAGGCTCGGCAGGAGAACTCTGAGTTGAAAAGTACTGCAAAAAAACTCGGGGAGAAGCTGGCCATTGCCAAAGACAGACTGATGCTGCAGGAACGTCATGTAACACCGAAAACCGGTCAGATGTTCTGCAACAGCTTTTTTAAACATTTATTTATTATGAGAGAGAGAGCACGTGCATGCGTGAGAGTGGGGGAGTGGGAGAGGGGCAGAGAGAGGGAGAGAGAATCCCAAGTAAGCTCTGTGCTGACAGCAGGGCTCAATCTCATGAACTGAGCTGAAATCAAGGGTTGGATGCTTAACCAACTGAGTCACCCAGGTGCCCTGCAACAGTTTTGCAGCCTTGAGACTGTTGAGGGAGCAGAGCCAGGGGCGGGGCTGTTTGATCTGACCCCTGGTGGGCCAGCTCAATCCATGCAGGACAAAGGTGAGCTGCCATCTGGAGCCACCACAGTGCAAATAGCTAAAAGGCATGACGCAAAGGGACAACTTGCCCCCCCAAATGCTTCGTCACCAGGCCCACCACATGCCTGAACTCCTCAGCATTGGCTTTTCCCCCACGCTTGGGCAACACTTCATTCTTTTCCCATCATTTCACACAGCAACGTTACTGGGTCTTCCCAGTTGTTCCGTGAGTGGGTGTTGTCAGTATCTCCCATGGTCCAGACAAAGAGATGAGGCTGGAAGGGTAAGTGGCTCGCTCAAGGCCACTGGTTAATGGGATAACTGGTGTGTGTGTCTCAGAATATCTGACTCCAGGAGGTCTTCCAGTAGAGTCCCTCATCAGAAAGTTCTTGAATACCCACAGTGTGATCAACTTGATACTAGGAGATATAAAAAAGGCACAAAACATAGGCTCTTGCCCCAGGGAGCTTATGGGACAGTGACTCTACAGCCCAGAGCATGCTTTGGTATCATGCGGTGGCCCAGGCTGTAGGGAAGTGAAGTGTCCTGAAAAGAGGTCACCATGGGCTGGAAGGGTGTGGGGGAGGAGGTTCGAACTGGAGCCACAAGTGTGTGGAGGCTTTAGTGCAATGTTTTCAAAAGTAGGGCTTGGATACCTCTGAGAATATGGGAAGAAAACGGTGAGCATTTCTAGTTATATTTGTTTTTTGTTTTATCTTTTACATTTAAATATTTTGAATGTATATCTATCCAGGAATATGTTCAATTTTTTTTTTTAACCTATGGAAAGTACAATCAAAAAGCTTTGACAATGACTTAAGAAGCTAGCATTCAGGATGCTGCTTGAGCAAAGACAACAATCACCACCTTGACTATGCTTGAGGGGCCAGAAGGCCACAGAGCAGGGGAGTCCAACCGAGAGTGGTGGGTAGAATAGTCAAACAGTAGAATGGGTACCCGACTGCAAAAGACCTTGGACATGAGGCCAAGGCCAAGGGCATTTCAAATGATGTTGAAACTTATGCTTGCAGATGAAATGAAGACAGAGCTAGTTGCAGAGAATGAAGTCCTAGGGAAGGCGAATGACCTAGAAGGCCGCAGTCTCCATCCTCAGCAGGACCCGAACTTTCCCAAGGAGTGTCCATGTACCAAAGGAGGCCCAGAGACACAGGTAGTGTCTCACCCAGCCCTGGGAATGGAGAAGTCACAGGAGGCTTTGCTGGAATGAGCTTCAGGCAGAGGCCAATCTTGTAACTATGACAGAGCCACTTGGAAGAAGCAGGTCCCATGGTTTCAGGGGTCAATGCATGGGTGTGAAGTTCCAGCTAACTTCTTGCATTTGAAATTAGGAGACTAAGAATATAGCAGAACTTCTGTCGACGGCTCCTGGGAAACTTGCATGGGATTCCCACTGTCTGTTCCCAGTCAAAACAAACAAAGCATTCTTTAGACACTGCTATAGTGGGCTAGAGTATCTCCTCCTGTGACCATAGGTACACTATTCCAAAGGGCCCTTTGCTGATTCAGGTGGATAAAGTAGTCTCTTACAAATATCAGATATATAGTCTCGTGAACTTTATGGCACCTTGTGATTTTATGCTGTAAAATCAGTGTGTAAATGTTGTACCCAAGAGAAATGGTAATTCCCTGCTCCTCACCCCATGCTGGCAGGTTTACAAGGCCCTTTTTCTTTTTTATAGACCAAGAAAGAGGCAAGTATTGAGACGGAATATATGAAGAAGCAATATGAAGAAGACCTTCGTAAAATCAAACATCAGACAGAAGAGGAGAAGAAACATCTCAAAGACCAGCTAGTGAAGCGCCTGGAAGACTTGGTAAAGAAGCACGCCATAGAAATCAAATCGGTTCGCTCTTCGGTGGAGGCCGAGAGGAGGAAGCTGCAGAAGGTGAGACCCCCTTTCATAGACTCTGTTCCGATTCTTTTTCCTTTCCTCTACCTCCCTCCTTTTCTCTTGTATTTCTTCTTTCCTTCCTTGGACATTTACTGAGCTCCTGCTGTGTATACATCTAAGTTATTTCTCTGCCCAAGGCAATTCAGAGTCTTTTAGAGGAGACGGGGACATTCCTTAGACTGTGAGCCGGTCAGGGCCTAGAATCGTTGACACGACGTAGAATTGTGTCCTGTGAACATTTAACTGAGGAAATTCAACTCTCCTCAGCAAAGACAGAGAGAAATAACATGAAGCAAGCACTGAGGCCCTAGCAGACTTGCCTGGATTCAAATCCCAGCTCTTCTAGGAGCTTTGTGAGCACAGTGAGTTATTGAACTTGGGCCCCTCAGAGGGAAATCTTGTGTGCCTTAGGTTCCTCATTTATAAAGCAGATGACGATAACAGCACCTCCTAGAGTAGCTGCGAGGATTAAATGAGGTAATCTGTGTGAAAAAAAACAAAGCATAGTATGTGCCTGGGGCATAACAGGTAGATGAAGGTAATTAATCAGTGGCTTGCTAACGTGAGAGAAGATTCCCAGCCTCTGGGTACTTTTCCGACTTTCTACCGAAGGAGGCAGCTTTCTGCTGAGAAGAAATGCAAGGCTTCATCTCTTCCTGTTTACTGGGAAGAGCAACTCACGTCTGTGACATTTTAGGAAAAGAATGACGTGTAAATCAATAATATCGTGAACTTACTCTCTTTATAATGCAAGAGCCTGCATTATCAGCTTTGAGTTTTTGCTGAAAGACAATCAGATAGCACTGACGATTGCAGTGTTGTGTGGCAGTTACGAGTAGTAGGTACTCAATAAATGTGTGTGTTGGGTAAATAAATGAACTCATGAAAGATCCAAACTAGTCCTGGCCTAAGAAGTCCTAACACTTCCACTAGCTGTATGACCATGGCCAGGTCACTTAACCTCTCTGAGACATGATTTCTAAAATAAGGGCAAACACTTTGAAGGCTTGTTATGGGTCCCTGATGGTATTAAATAAAAACTCTTAGTTCAGTGCACAGCATGTAGTAAAAGTTGGATAAACAGTGGCTATGCTGAGTTACCCTGAGCACCGGCTGACACAATGCATGTTAATATTGGTTAGTGCCTGCTATACTTTCTTTTTAATTTTTAATTTATTGTGTATGACCACCACACTTATAAGGCACTTCAGTCTCAGAAACACAGTGAATCTTCCCAACAAGATGACAAAATTGGTATTCATATTTTAGAGATGAGAAAATTAAGGCTCAAAGATGTTGCGTGTCAACTCACACAGACAGTGAGTGCTAGAGCTAGTATTAGAACCTGATAGCTCGAGGGTCACCTGGCTCAGTCGGTTAAGTGACCGACTCATGATTTTGGCTCAGATCATGATCTCACAGCCGTGAGATCGAGCCCTGCATCAGGCTTGCACCCAGCATGGAGCCTGCTTGCTATTCTCTCCCTTCCTCGCTCCCTCTGCCCCTTCCCTGCTGGCTCACTCTCTCACTCTCTCAAAAAATAAAACTTTATTTATTTTTTTTTTAATTTTTTTTTCAACGTTTTTATTTATTTTTGGGACAGAGAGAGACAGAGCATGAACGGGGGAGGGGCAGAGAGAGAGGGAGACACAGAATCGGAAACAGGCTCCAGGCTCCGAGCCACCAGCCCAGAGCCTGACGCGGGGCTCGAACTCACGGACCGCGAGATCGTGACCTGGCTGAAGTCGGACGCTTAACCGACTGCGCCACCCAGGCGCCCCTCAAAAAATAAAACTTTAAAAAAAATTTTTTTAAAATCTGATAGCCCAAGTCCAGAACCCCTGGTTCCCACCCCTGTGCTGGGCAGGAGGCAGCTGTTTGGAAAGCATTTTCCTCCCCATGAGCTGCTAGTGGTCACGCAAACCCGATCCTCAGACAAATAGCTGACTGCTCTTTCTATCCAGAGTCACAGTTAGTGGAAGGAACCGTAGCTCCCAGAGCTACAGGTTGCCCTGGTAACCTGTCAGCGAAGCCTGACTGACTGCACAAATCCCATTTTGGCTTTAATCAGGGGGCATGAATCCATTTGGGAAATGAATCACATAGAAATAAATTGTGTTTCTCTTCTGGTTTGGGAGAGGGGCGTTATGCTTTTTATCCCACCCCCTTTTTTTTGAGGGGCATTTAGACCATTTACATTGAATATAATTATCACTAAGTCTACTATCTTGCTGTTTTTGTATTTGTCACATCTGTTCTCTTTTTCTTTTTTACTTCTTTTTCTGTGTATTTTTGATTCATTGAATTTATTTTTTGTATTCCCTCTTTTATCTCCACTAATGGCTCATTGGCTATTTTTCCTTTTTTTCTTCAGGGGTTGGGGGCTGCTCTAGTGGTTGCTCTAGGATTTACAACATACGTCTTTAATTTATCCCTGTCTGCTGCCAAATGTTATTTTACTTCACATATATAACTTCGCTGTACAAACCTTACAACAATGTATTTCCATTTATCCCTTCCTGACCTTTGTGTAATTGTTGTCATACATTCTAATTTAGACATGTTACAAACGAGAGAGTATATTGCTTTTATATTTCCTTAAAAAGTCAATTATTTTTTTGAAGTTTATTTATTTAGTTTGAGAGAGAGAGAGAAAGAGCACATGAACCAGGGAGGGGCAGAAAGAGAAGAAAAGAGAGAGAATCTCAAGTAGGCTCCTTGCTGTCAGCACAGAGCTGGACAGGGGCTGGAACTCATGAACTGTGAGATCATGACCTGAGCCAAAATGAAGAGTGGACGCTCAACAGACTGAGCCACTCATGGGCCCCAAAAGTCCATTATTTTTTAGAGGAAAGTTTTCAATAAGAAAAAAATATTCCTTGTATATTTTATTTTTAAGTTATAATATTATACTTATTCTTTCCCATTTCCCATTTCTACAGTCTTTGTTGCTTTGACCTGAAGCATTTCTTGTGGTGTAAGTCCACTCACGGCAAATTCTGTTTTTGTATGTCTGAAAATGTCTTTTTTTGCCTTTATTTTTGCTGGATACAGAATGCTAAGTTTGCAGTTTTTTTTTTTTTTCTTTCAGAACTTTAAAAATGTCATTTGACATTTTTTGGTTTGCATTTTCTTCAAATGCAAGAAACTTTGGCAGTCCCCCTTATCATATTCCCCCTGTTCATAATATGTCTTTTTGTTCTCTGACTGCTTTTAAGAGTTTCTCTTTGTCACTGGTTTCCACACCTTGATTATGGTATGCCATGTATGATATTTTATATGTGTGTTTTTCTGCTTGGGATTCATGGAATGTCCTGGACCTGTGGGTTTATCGTTTTTTCCAGTTTGGAAATTTTAATGCCATTATCTCTTCTGCTTCACCCTCCTTCCAATATTGTCCCACAAGTCACTGAAGCTTTGTTCATTTATTTATTTATTTATTTTTCTGTTCATTTATTTTTGGTCTCCTTGTCTCTCTGTGCTTCAGTTTGGATAGCTTTTATAGCTGTATCTTTTAAGTACACTCATTTTGTTTTTGTATATTATGCAATTTTTTAAAGCCTATTTGGTATATTTTTTCATTTACAATATCATATTTTTCAGCTCTTGAAGTTCCATTTGGTCTTCCATTATGGTTTCCCTTTCTCCTCATTATGCTTATGTCTTCCTTTAAATTCCTCGGCATGATTGTAATTGCTCTTTTGGCATTCTCATCTGTTAGTTTGGATTTTTTTTTCTATGATTGATTTTTCTCCTGGTTACAAGTCCCATTTTCGTGCTTCTGTGGATATTTAGTAATGTTTTATTGGGATGCTGGACATTCAGAGTGTTAACTTTTTGAAAGACTGCATTTTGTTATCACCCTTTTAGGAGTGCATTTTGTTTTGGCAAGCGGTTAAATTACTTGTGACTCAGCTTCATCTTTTCCAGACTTATTCCTTTTATTGTGTTAAAAGGTACCACTTTTGAGATTTATTTTCAAACTTGGTTAGGATGAGTGTAGAGTAGCATTTGGGCTGGTGCCACTTTAGCTTTACTACTGAAGTGTTACCCTTCATGGGGTCCAATACCTCATGTATTGATTAATACTGGTGTTATTGTGATTGCTGACATTTTTGACTTTGTACTGGTTGACTGTTGTTGCCGCACCATGAACTTTATAGATAGATTCCAAAAACAGTAATGTTTCTTCTCCAAGCAAGTTAACATATTTTCCTTTAAAAACATGGAGGCCAGGTGATGACAGCAGGTGGGCCACAGCGAGAGCCATCTATGATTGGCCAGTTGAGCTGCCTGGTGATTGGCTGCATGAGCAAGACCAAGCTGAGAGCCCCCTGGTGATTGGCTGGGGCACAGTGGTGCCCTCAGGAGGTGTTGGGATGAACCCTGATTGCTGGAAAGGCCCAGCACTGACCCAAGGTTGCACTGGAGAGAGGGCTCCTGGGTCACAGCTCCTCCTATTCGGGTACGCTTCAGGGTTCTCCACCCCCCACTGATCCCATCCCAGCCTCTCACCCACGCTCTGCACTCCACCTTCATGTTTGCTTCTACCCTTCTGCCCCTCTGGGGTTGCGTGAGTCCTTATACCAGCACTGGGCCCCACCTGGACCCAGGCCCCACTGCAGGGCTGGCCAGAACACCCAGTTACTCTGGCCCATTTGGCAGAAGGGTAGGGGGTTGTGAGAATCAGAGTACAACAGACCCTTACCCAGCCAGGCAGAGCCTCTCCAGTGCTCTGGGGTCATAACCTGGCTCAGCATGAGGAAGCTGGGGGCGTGTCCTGAGGGTACCCTGGACATTCTACTGACATGGAGTCTTCTGTCAAGGGTCAGCACAAACTAGTCCTCTAGATACATGACCAAGTGCAAGCACACCAGACCACAGTGCAGGATAAGAGACTCTCCCAGAAAGATGGCTTGTGAGGACTTCTCTAACCCAACTCAGCATGGAGCCAACAAGTCTCCAGGACTCTAGGCTGACCAGGAACCCTCTAG